TATTCACTAAGATACTTAAAGATGGCAAGAATGGCAAAAATGGAACCTAAGAATAAACCTGTTTCTCTCACCTTCGTGGTCTCAAGTCCTGGTCTTTCGTAAGTAGATTACAAACCTCAATCTGCTGAAACATATGTAAGTATGTATGTGTGTGTGTGCATGTTATTGTGTGTATGTGTGTATGTGTGTGTAAATGTATGTTATTTGTGATGTTTCTTGTCAATGGCTGCTGGGGTCAAATTACCAACACATTCATTAAGTGAATCTGATTCCCCCATTGACTATGCTTGTCAGAAGGTGGTAAAAGGACCCTGGGATACGGCAACTGTCACAAATACGAGTCCGTGGCTAAGCATTTGAATTTTGATCACGTGTCCATGGGGAAGGTGCAACGGTTGTAAGTGTGAAAAATGGTCATGTCACTTTTTTTTTCAGGGCTGTTGTAACTTCGAATGAACTGTTGTAAGTCAAAAGCTACCTGTAATTCGCTGCTCTGGGGTTTTATATTTTGAGACACATTTTAGAGGTTCTTTCAATGAATTTTGATGCACTGGGCTGCATTTTGCTGCACCGCACAAAACAAATAAATACATCAATCCAAGGGAATTGAGTTATTCCCATTTGCCAAAAATCAGCACCTTACTTAATAAAGCCGAATTGTAAAAGCTCAGTTGCTGGAGTCTAAGGCAATGTTGTTGATTTTCTTTACCTACTGGAGAGTCTCTCTAAATGAACATGACTCTGCATGACGTTCTCTTGTAATGTACAGTAGAGTTGAGCAACAGGGTTTTTTTTTTGCTTTGTTTTCAAAACAAAGAATGCTCTCTTTCCCTCCGCCATACCCTTGGGGCACAGAGGCTGGAATCTCATTTTATGGCCAATCTTCAGACTTCAGGGTTGGAAGCTTTTTATTTTATTTTATTTTATTTTTCTATTCTATTCTATTCTATTTCACTCCACTTCACTCCCTACTCTACTTTCTTCCCTACACTACATTCTATTCTAATCTATTCTATTCCTATTCCTATTCCTATTCCTATTCCTATTCCACTCCACTCTCTACTCTATATTCTATTCTATTCCATTACTTCTATTCTATTCTTATTCCTATTCCATTCCACTCCACTCTATATTCTATTCTATTCTATTCTATTCCATTCCATTCCCTACTCTACTTTCTTCCCTACTTTCTATTCTATTCTATTCTATTCCTATTCCACTCCACTCTCTACTCTCTAATCTATTCTATTCCATTATTTCTATTCTATTCTTATTCCTATTGCTATTTGTATTCCATTCCACTCCACTCTCTACTCTACTCTATATTCTATTCTATTCTATTATTTCTACTCTATTCTATTTCTATTCCTATTCAATTCCACTCCATTCTCCAGTCTATATTCCATTCCATTCCATTCCTATTAATTCTATTCTATTTCATTTTTTATTTATTTACCCGATTTTCATCCCACCTTTATGACTTTATAAGTGACTCATGATGGCAAACATTCCTAGTACTTCTTCCTCCTCCTATTTCCCCCACAACAACCACCCCGTGAGATGGGTTGGGCTGAGAGAGGGTAACTGGCCCAAAATCACCCAGGTGGCTTTCATGCGGCATTCACTCGAACTCAGCATCTCCTGGTGATTGGCCCAAATTCATCCAGTCGGCTTTCATGGCTAAGGTGGGGCTAGAACGTAGAGTCCCCTGGTGATTGGCCAAAGTCACCCGGTTGGCTTTTATGCTTAAGGTGGGAATAGAACTTATAGTCCCCTGTTGATTGGCTCAAAGTCAACCCAACAGCTTTCATTGCTAAACTGGGACTAGAACTCACAGTCCCCTGGTTCCTAGGTCAGCACCTTAACCACTACACCAAGGTGTCTCTCCTTTGTCAACACGTATAAAAACAAGACTGTCAATGGAGCAATTCTGCATTTTGTTTACTTAAGGAGAGATGCTACGCTCTGCAAGAGGAAGTTCCTTTGTTCAACCTGAGTGGCCAGCACAAATTACAATATGGGGGAACGAGTAGATACTTACAATGGCTGCATGCACTCCTGAAGGTTGCACATCCTACGAATCGGTTTAGGCTTTTTACTGGCATCGCAGAAGCCGCGCTGCACCATTTTGTTATCACTTTTCCTGCGGCATCCATATTTGGTGTATTGGAAACCTGGAGAGAGTGGGAGAACAGATAATATCCGTGTTAATAGCAATAGCACTTAGACTTATATACCGCTTTATAGTGCGTTACCACCCTCTCTAAGCGGTTGACAGAGTCAGCCTCTTGCTCCTGACAATCTGGGTCCTCATTTTATCGATGTCAGATAGATGGAAGGATGAGTCGACCTTGAGCCGGTCAGGATCGAACTGCTAAATAGCAGGCAGCCGGCAGGCAGCAGAAATAGCCTGCAGTACTGCACTCTAACCACTGCGCCACTGTAGTGCACCGTGGTTGAATGAAAAGATCTAGCTAAACATAAGGCACATTTTTCATCTTAAATGATTTATCCAAGATTGGGAAGACAACACTGCCACTGTTGGGTGTGAAGGACACATACAAAATTCGAACAAAAGTGATTTATTGCTCGTGCCTGTGTACGGGAATCTAGTCAACTAATGTCCACAAGGTGCTTTTTCTGGAGGCAACTGGATTTCTTTTTTCTTTGAGGGCGTTTCGCTTCTCACCCAAGAAGCTTCTTCATCTCTGACTGGATGGTGGGGAACGGAAGGATTTGTATTCCTTGCAGACAGCTGGTCATTTGCATTCTTTTAGAGAGTGCTTGAGGCTACTTGGAGGACAGAGATAAACTTCCAAGTGGCCTCAATGACCCTCTAAAAGGATGCAAATGACCAGCTGTCTGCAAGGAATACAAATCCTTCC